TGGGGCCAGGCACAGTGGCTCACGCCTGTAATCCCAGCACTTTGGAAGACTGAGGCAGGTGGATCGCCTGAGATCAGGAGTCTAAGACCAGCCTGACCAACATGGAGAAACTCCGTCTCTACTAAAATATACAAAATTAGCCAGGCATGGTGGTACATGCCTGTAATCCTAGCTACTCGGAAGGCTAAGACAGGAGAAACGCTTGAACCCAGGAGGTGGAGGCTGCAGTGAGCTGAGATTGCGCCACTGCACTCCAGCCTGGGCAATGAAACTGTCTCGAAAACAAAATAAAAAATAACTTGGATGCCATCTCATCGACCCATAACCTTCTACACAAATCCTCTCTCCAACATGCATGATGAGCAGAGTGTTGAAGTATTTCCTGTGTGGAGGAACTCAGCATGTGACAAGGACACACAATCCATTGCAGAACATCTAATCCTCCAGTGTTTTAACCAAAATACTGAACAAGTGAAATCATTAGCCTGGCATACAAGGTCTTCCCTGAACTATTCCCCACTGATCTCTCCAGCCTCGTTTCTTGCCAGGACCTCACTTGTACCATTTCATCCAGACTGTGGGCCTGGGAGGCTGGTCTCATTTCTGCCTCCCCTCAACATCTGGCATGCAGGGGTACTTCAAGGGTGAGCGGATGGGGAAGGACAGATGGATGAATGTATGGAGGTGTGTTCACAGAGCTCCAAAACCCAGGAGAGCCTCGCTGCCAGCAGAAATGAGTCCAGTGATACTTCTGTGCTCCAACAGCCAACCCAAAGACTATTTTTGAAATGGGATCTCCCACCAGAAATGCATCGTGCAAAACTCTGCTCAAAGGCAACAAAGTCACACAGGGCCTTCCATTTTGCTGACTCAGAGAATGCTGGCCAGGCACAGTGGCTCACACCTGTAATGCCAGCACTTTGGGAAGCTGAGGGGGCTGGATCACAAGGTCAAGAGATCAAGACTATTCTGACCAACATGGTGAAACCCCGTCTCTACTAAAAATACAAAAATTAGCTGAGTATGGTGGTACACACCTATAGTCCCAGCTACTCAGGAGGCGGAGGCAGAATCACTTCAACCCAGGAAGCGGAGGTTGCAGTGAGCCAAGATCACGCCACTGCACTCCAGCCTGGCAAGAGCCAAGACTCCATCTCAAAAAAAAAAAAAAGTATGCCTACCTACCGACTCTGCCCCACCTCCCCAGTCTCATCCTCTTCTCCCTGCAGAATGACTGGTCTCGCCTTGTCCTACAGCTGCCTGCTCCCATCTCCCTGCTTTCTTTCCTATTTTTCATGGCCTGAAATGAGAACTTTCTCCTGTGCATCCAAATGGGATCATGTCTCTTGCCCCAGCTGGTGTTACAGTAATCCTCCCTTATCCATGGGGCATAAGCTCCCAGACACCCAGTGGATGCCAACTGCAAACCCAATCTATACCAAGTTTGTTCCCATACATACAAAACTGAAGTTTAATTTAGGCAGTCAGATATTAACAACTAATAAATATACCGTAAGTTACATGAACACCTTTCCTCTCAATATCTAATTGTATTCACTCGTGTGGGAGATAAAATGCCTACGTGGTGAGATGAAGGGAGGCGAATGACATAGGCAGGGTGACGTGTTAGGCTACTATTGACCTTCTGATGACACATCAAGAGGATCATCACTTTTGGGTGATCCCAGACCACTGAGCCATAACTTTCCAGACTGCAGCTGATGGTAACAAACTAGATAGGAGGGGACTGCTGTCTTCTGCAGGCCTTCCAAGATCCAGCCTCCCTGCACTGATCCTGGTTCTCAATTTCTATCATGTCACAGTCATACACTACCTGCTACTTCATAGAAACAAACAGAAGCCAGACCATGAGATCACGGTCAACTTCCTCAGAGCTTACAAGACAGAAAAGCTTCTTTATCCCCAACTTCCAGAACAGGGACTCATAGCAGTTGATCAGTAAATGGGAAATTTGGCTAGCCATCTAACACTTGTTCAATAAACCCATGGCAACTGGCACCCTGCTGGTAGTCATGAGTTTTATAAACCATTATATGCATAGTGGAAAGTAGCTCAATGCCAGAGTGCCTGAAAAAAAGCAGTGTTTTGGAGTCAGATGATTCCATTCCAATCCCATTCCCACCACATAAAGGCTGAGACACTGGTAAGACGCTTAACTGCTCTACACCCTTTCCAGCATGGGTCCAGTAAGACATGCTTCTTAAGATTTAAAATGCAGATTAACAGAGGTCATCATACAGAGTGTAGGACAGCACTTGTCTCAGCTCCAAGAGAACACCACGAAAGATGCTGTCTTTATGGGCAGTCTAAAATAAACAACTTACCAGGGAAGAAAGGAAGAGTGCAGAGTTGAAAGCTGCCCGATTACACAGGCACATCCAGCTACAAGCAGAACTCATGGGTGTGGTACTAGGGCAAGCTAAAAAGCAGAACCCAAAATATTCACTGCAGGTACTTTCTCAGAACCACCTCTAGCTTTTCTCACCACTCTTCAAAGATCCCTGCTACCTCATTTAAGCCACAGCTTCCCATCCAATGCCAAGCTGAAGGAAGGGATGTGCTCCCTCACTGTTGATTCAGCTTAGTGTAAAGTCAACTTTGCATTTTATGGAGGCTCTTCCAAAGCCTGCCAACAGCACAGGGTAGCCTGGTTACTGTCAAGGCCTACAATGTGCTGGTCTCCCAAGAATCTTTAAGTTCAACAGCACAACTGTCCACAATTTGAGTTCGCACAAGTCCCTGCTTCCTGACACACAACTGCTTAGCACTAGTTTCCAAATTTGTTCTCACAGTTGTTACATCCTCAGCCTCAACATAGCCTTGTGAGCCAGGGTAGCTAGCAGATACCCTTAGGAGCCCCATTTAAAGACAAGCTAACCCAAATGAGTGACCAGGTGACTTCCCCAGAAAAACACCCAGAATGGACTACATAGAAGAGAAGCAGGCAGAGGGGACACAAGACCAGAAGGCAGGTAGAGGGTATTAGCTGGCTGTAGGGACAAAGGCTTGGGGACTGGGGAACATCGGTCCAAAGGGATGCCGCCAGCCTGGAGCCCTGCCAACTGTCATCACACAGGAAGGTGGGCTACTGTTGCTGCTTCTGATATTTCAAGAGGCTGGAATCTAGACCTTTATGTAAAATTCACCCAAGTTTCCAAATGTTATGCCTAAGAAAACTTACAGCAAGACTGCCAGTTTTTCTCTAATACCCCAACTCAAATGGATCCCTTGGAAACATAGGCCCAGCCTGTTTCATCCCACTTCCCTTCCCCAGAGGCTAAAGAACTACAACCACCCTGAGCAGTCCAACAGGAAAGCTTCCTCACTCTGCAACTTTGATGCCAACCTTTAATAATTCGGGCTCTCTCCAGCTACGCCCTTTGTCTTCACATCAAACTATTTCCTACCCTTCAGTTCTCGCTCAATTGCTTCCTTCTACTGCAACTTAGCGACCGCCCCCAGCTCCACATCCCATCCTGTCCATGCAGCACTCAGGATCCTCACCACCTGGCCTGCACAAGCTGCTCACAAGGTGCCTTCTCTGCTTCCACACCCCAGCTCAATCACAGGAAACTATCTCACACCCCAACCTGTGCTGCCCCAAGCATTACCTTCGGCCTCTATGCACTGTTCACCAATAAATGCCAAACACAAAGACCCCATTATTCCACACATTCTGTACTAGTAAGCCGTCTGCTCCTAGCAAAGGAGTAACAGATTCCTCAGCTAGAGAATCCACAGGCCCAGAGGCCCCACAAACTGAAGTACACAGCCTCTGTAGATCCAAAAAACAGAACTCCAAACCACCCCAGGCCAGCAGGCCCAGCCCCATGACTTAACTCTTCACAGCCCTGCTCTCCCATCTGTGGGTGCCTCAGGCAGGGCTCTCACCATCTTCTCTCCAAAAATTCTACCACCCTTCCTTCCTGCAACCTCAACTCTTCTGCCTTCATGGTATTGCTTTTCCTGTGTCCCCTTCATGCCCAACCAAGTCCTTCAGTTCTCTACTGCTTCCTGAGATTGTTCCAGAGTTTATCTAGGCATGGCATTTTAGACACACTCAGCCAGATGTGGTCACTCATAACTGTTAATTCCGGCACTTTGGGAGGCCAAGGCAGAGGATCGCTTGAGCCCGAGTTCAATCAAGACCAGCCTAGGTAACAGTTACTCTACATATATATATTCACACACACACACACCCCACCCCTCACTGTAGCCTTAAGTTCCTAGGCTCAAGCTTAATCCTCCCACCTCAACCTCCCAAAAGTGATTACTGTGAGACTCACAAGCCTGACTCCCAGTTGAACCCACTTAAACTATAAATCAATCAGCAAACACACACCACCCAGGACACTAAGTTTTCATTGAATGCTTAATGAAACGTGAACTTGGGCAGTGACTGAAATCAGCAGACTAACTTCCTAGCACTCCCAGTAAACTGCAAATACATTTCAAACAACCAGACACACAAAAGTTTTTAGTTTATTAATAAGCTTCTCGTGAAAAATCCACAACGGCCATAGATAACATCATTGCGGCACCTTTTACTCCTTCGGCTGTGGATCAAGAGAAAGAAGTTTAGTTAGCAACTGCTTTTAAAATTCTTTAAAGTCTTAAATTCCACAAGTATTAACATTCATGCAAAACAAACAGTTAATATCAAGTTATTTTTGTGTCATAACACAATGTAAATATCAAGAATAAAACTTGACAAACATTCAAGTTAGAAATGAAACAAAGAAAATGGGCTACATATTGCTAAACCTTAAAAACAAAACCTTGTCACTTCTATTTTAAAAGGTTACAACTCTTCGGAATATTTATAAATCTACTTCTAAATGTACTACACACAATCTGCTTTTAAATTGTTACATCAGTACGACAAGGAGTCTAGTGATCTACATGACTACATGAAAAGCTTGAATTGTTACATGAAAAGCTTGAATTGTACCTGTGTTCCAATCTCCAGCTCACTGAATCAGTGGCAGGGGAAGGGAAAGAGAGAAAGGAGGGAAAAGAAAAATTTCATTAATAGTCCCTTTTCAAACTCCAATATAATCTGCATTTAAGTGCATGCAATCAGGTGTACCTTAAGATGGCTATTTTGTTCTTTGCAACTGTATACAGAGCACTGCCTCATCCGACACTCACTGATTTTATTCCCCCCAAGTCTCACTGATACCTTGCCTGATTACTGTGGTTCTTACGCAAACAAGGTAGCTGCACAATGAAGAGACTGCCAATTTGGTACCCAGAATGGCCTTGCCCACAAGTCAATGAAGTACATACCTGAGCTTCTGCCCCTCTGCTCTGCCCAACAACACTGTGCTGGACACACACCAGGAACCGATGAGAATCGTTACACATTAAAGTCTAATTTAACCACAATGGGAGTGCTCTAAATGACCAGGCAAGCATTTCAAAAGCTGCCGTAGTTCAATACTTTAAAAGACACCATTCACAGCCACAACGGTAACACGAGTTAGTATTTAAAAAGAGGGATTAATTTAACTGAAATAAAAATACAACTGCTTTTCATGCAGATATGAGACTACTAACGTCTTAGTACAAGTAACTTAGTATAGGCTGCGAACCACGGCTCACGCCTGTAATCCCAACACTTTGGGAGGCCAAAGCGAGCCGATCATGAGGTCAGGAATTCGAGGCAAGTCTGGCCAGCATGATGAAACTCCATCTCTACTAAAAATACAAAAACTTATCTGGGCATGGTGGCACGCGCCTATAGTCCCAGTTACTTGGGAAGCTGAGGCAGGAGAATTGTTTGAACCCGGCAGGTGGAGGTTGCAGTTAGCTGAAATCACCACACTGCACTCCAGCCTGCCAGCCTGGGTGACAAAGCGAGACTCCCGTCTCAAAAAGAAAAAAAAAATTAACTTAGTATTTAACTCCACTGGATTCAAAAGACAAGAACAAACACCACTTCTAACATCTGAACAAAACTGAATTAAAAGCAACATTGTTATGGTTATTTCTTTGGAGCCGACGAATTTGTGTACTCAAATGCATCAATTTTTCCAGCTGGCTTTTCACAGCAGCGCTAGTAAGAGGTACGAGTGTAATTTGAAGGAGGAATGGTGTTGGCTCAGGTCCCCACATGTTCCTTCATACATGTGGGCTTCAGAGGCTGAGCACACTAACTCGCAGGACTCAAAGGCTGGATGAAGAGAAGAATCAATGTGTTAAATGTCCCTCAGACCTAGGTCAGAGGACAAATATTGACTAATTCTTTTTGCCACTTCTCTCAACAGATATAATCCTCACAAACAGGGAGCGGTTCTAAGTAGTGAGTAGTTCTGCTGGCAGTTCATGGGACGTCAATCTGATTACAGTCCTGGCCAGGCAATCCCAGGTTTACTGCCTTCCCTGGGAAGGAATCATTGCAAAAGGAAGCCCGAAGAACAATGGCCTTCACTGATTCAAAATCCCCCTATGCTCACCCCACTCCTACCCCTCTTTACACATTACAATTTTAGGCTGTTCAGATGTGCAAAATTTGCTTTAAATGGGGTAGCAAGCTGAGCACAGTGGCTCACATCTGTAATCCCAGCACTTTAGAAGGCTGAAACAAAGGATCACTCAAGTCCAGGAGTTGACCTGGACCAGCCTAAGCAACATGGCTAAATCCTGTCTCTGTAAAAGGTTAGCAGGGCATGGTGGCACACACCTATGGTCCCAGCTACAAGGGAGGCTGAAGTGGGAGAATCACCCAAGCCCAGGAGGTCCAGTAAGCAATGATCATACCACTGTACTCTAGCCTGAGTGACAAGAGACCCTGTCTCAAACAATAAAATAAAATGGGGTAATGGGCCATTCTGACCAAGTGCTTGTGGGAAAAAGTATATCCACCAAAGCCTTTGATATGAATACATAATTATACACAAATTTTCTATTAAATAAAAAAGACACCAGACAGAAAACTGGAGACCAAGTAATAAAAAGCAATGGAAATGGTAAAAGGCAGCTCTGAGAGTATCTAAACAGGACAGAGGCTTTGCCAGATTTCACAGACCAGTTTATGACCAGAGCTGCCAGGCTGTTTCATGGCTCCAAAGACTGCTCCTTGGATAGGAGAGCCCTTCCCAAGCCCAGTGGTAACTGAAGCCACTTCCTAAGTATGGGGACATAACATTTCCCAAGTGCAAGCTAAAAGGTGCCTACTGGTAAAGTACTCACCTTCCTCCAGTGAGTCACTTCACATGTAACATGCATTTTGGAGTTTTCAAAATAAACATGATTTTAGAAGTTTTCTCCTTTGCTTATATTACCTTAAAACCCATTAGGTTGGTGCAAAAGTAACTGCGGTTTTTGCCACAGCAATTTCTTTTGCACCAGCCTAAATAACACTGGCATTATAATCAACCATACTCTTAAAACTGTAAGGCCAACATGCAAAGCATCAACGCAAACTCTGTGAAGGTGATGCATCCCCACACCGTGCTTACAATCTCAGTACCTGCTAGACACTTCATTTCTGATGAACAAGAAATCCAAGAAAGTAGAGAGGAAAAGCAAAAAAAAAAATTCACAGAACATTTGATTATTTGTGAATTTAACAACCCAACACCTTAATTCCATTCAATGATTGACAACGTCCAACTATTTACAGCTAGCAAAGCTGGTAAAAAGCCGCAAATCGCTAAATCACTGGTCTTGGCTAACTGGAGAGGAAAGCAATCCTGAGATCTCAGCTGCCTCTCCAGTGTGCCAGGAATACACCGGCCACATTGATCCAACTGCTTCTTAAACCAATGTCCATATTAGTAAGTAAAATCCCAGGAAACAAGATCGGCTCTGCATTGAAGGGTCTATGCCAATTAGTAAAATTAAAACTTCCTGTAATAGGCTTGAAAGGTGCCTACCAGGATCAATGAACCAATGTGGCCCCCAGATTGTGCTGTGAGCTGATAAGGGGTGGGCCAAGCTACTCTACACTAAGGTGTTAAGACACTATGCTACATAGTTTCTTAAAACATGTTACCTTCTGTAATCCAGAAGAAGAGGGGAAGGAAGAACATTAAGAAAGGTTATTAAAAAAAAACAAAATCCCTTTCCTAGAAACTAAAGACCTACAATTAATGACGTTTCTAGGTTTTCCTTGATGAACTATACCTTTTTGCCAGCACCAACATTGGCCTTTGCAGTCCCCCTGACTTTCTTCATTCTGTTCTTGCGTTCCTTTCGTTGCTTTCTTGAGGTCTTCTTCTTCTCATACAGGCCATGCTGAAGGAGAAAGGAATATATCCAAGTGACTTGCAAACATTCTGGTAGGGAAACTCATCTTAAGAAACACAGCTTTTTAAACCGAAACTTTTAAGTACATTTAATACAATACATGTTTTTGCTAGACAAGAAAGGATTATCAAGGGATTTTAAGTATAGAATAGCCTCACAGGAAACAAATGGTCCACTCAACACTCTCTTGTCCACACTTGAGCCCACAGGTCACTATTTTCTCTTCTTTTGGCACTACCAAAACAAGGCACCTCTCAAGTGGCTGAAGGATCTCTTCCCAGTTCAACTCCCCATTACTCCCTGATGACAGAGAAGCCTTTACCACCCCACACCATGAAGATTCCAGATCTATCCACCTCCACTCTGCCCACCTTTGCACTTACTGTTCCTGAGGCCTACAAGACTGTTTCCGTATCTTTACAAAGACTACTTCCAAATCCTTACAAGGATCTCAGCTTCAACGTCACCTCCTCAGCAGGTTAAAAATAGTGCAACTTCTGGCATCACCAGGATTTTCCCTCACAGCTATTGTATGGGCAGATTTATCTAACAGGATGGGGTAAAGTGGGTTAAAGAAACAAGCAAGCATTGCAAGGTAATGATGCTTACTTGTTTACTAAAATGTAAGCTGGGGAGCTTGCCCAGCTCACTGTAGTTCACTCAGTATGAAATCAAAAACCTTTCCTGGTTCCTGGCTACCTATGGGATTAAGCCCAGACTCACACTTAATCCACACTAAATGAATTTGGTGCCAGGCTACCTTTGCAAACACATCCCCCTACTTTCCCTCTGGAAAACAATGCTTATCCCTAGCCCATCTCCAGGAACACTACTTCAGCTGCCCTCCTGAACTCAGCTCAAATGCCAGGCTTCAATTTTGAACCTCCTTACTCTACCTATGCACTGTATCAAAGAACTTTTTTCTCTTAATCCCTTCAGAGTTCTTTGTCCATCTGTACACTGACCCTCCCAGATTGCTCAGTCTTGCCCATTTTACTACACTCACAATACAATGCTACTGGAAAAAATATGTCTTCAGTAGTTGATGAACAAATGAAGACACCTACTCTTGCAAGTCTATGTTTGGGTTCATTTTTCTTTGCATAATCCAGGGAATCATAAATCATGCCAAAGCCAGTTGTCTTGCCACCACCAAAATGAGTTCTGAATCCAAATACAAAAATGACATCCGGTGTGGTCTTGTACATTTTAGCTAGTTTTTCCCGAATTTCTGTCTTAGGCACTGTTGCCTTCCCGGGGTGAAGGACATCAATGACCTAAAAGGAGATACCAAGTTTAGCGTTCACTGTAATAAAATACATCTTCAGAATAAAGGACAATTAAGCAAAATTTGATGTGCCCTTCCTTACCATTTGTTTCCTCTGAAGTAGTCGGTTGGTCATGAACTTTCTAGTGCGGATAGTTACTGTGTCGTTCTGAAAACATAAACACTCTAGTTAATAAAACTACTCAACCTGGCCGGGCGCGGTGGCTTGCGTCAATAATCCCAGCACTTTGGGAGGCTGAGGCAGGTGGATCACGAGGTCAAGAGATCGAGACCATCCTGGCCAACATGGTGAAACACCGTCTCTACTAAAAATACAAAAATTAGCTGGGCATGGTGGTGCGCGCCTGTAGTCCCAGCTACTCGGGAGGCTGAGGCAGGAGAATTGCTTGAACCCATAAGGCGGAAGCAGAGGTGAGCCGAGATCGCGCCATTGCACTCCAGTCTGGGTAACAAGAGCGAAACTCCATCTCAAAAAATAAAAATAAAAATAAATAAAATAAAACTACTCAACCTTTCCTTGACCTTGCTATGATATTCCAAGACCTAGAATGTTGCAGTCCAACTTGTAGCCATAGTCATGTAGCGAATTAAAGTAAATAAAACCCACTGAGCAGGGCCAAACTCACAGGCTAACAAATACATAAAATACCAAGAAAATACAGCAGTTTTACATAAAATCTGTACATCTCACTTTATTAGGTTATGTTTGTCACTCTGGGGCAGGGTTTTTCAACCTCACCCCTACTGACATTACCATATGGATAATTCTTGTTGTGGGGACTGTATGTTTCAGAACAGCTATAAAAATCCCAGGCCTCTAACTACTAGATGCTAGAAGCACTTCCCACCCTTCCCAGTTCTGAGAATCAAAAATGTCTCCAGACTTAGCCAACTGCTCCCTTAGTGGGGGGGGGGGGGGAAAAAAAAAAAAAATCACTCCAGGTTGATATCACTTCTCCGGAGTAAAAACTGCTGTGGCTCACATAAATGCTGTCACATTCAAAAAAATGTGTTTATCATGTCCTGCACAAATGTGACCCAAACCTTGCACTCACTACCTGCATGCAGTCTATCCTTCTAGAATGGCCATGGCAGAGATCAGAAAACGGTATTTCCTTCTGAAGAACTTAACTGCACCTTTACTTAATACCTACCAAGGAATGTGGACAGTAAGCAATTTACGCTAACAGTTTTACCAAAAAGGAGGAGCAAGAGACTTTCATGGTAGCAAATGACTTGCTAGACTTTCTCCATTTTTCTTTGAGAAATCACACCAAATTAAACGCACATCAGTGGTACTCAATTCCTTAAAGTAAAAGACCAAAGGTAAAGAAAGAAAAAAAAAAACAGTTTGCAGATAAGTTATAATCGGATGCTGGAGGAGCTAACAACGTATGACTTAAGAGCAGGACTACCTTTTGATAACATCCCTTTCCAGGGCCTCAGTTTCCTCAGTAAGAAGCAAGAAGATCTATTCAGCTGACAAGTTTTCTAGCTCACACGTGGGAATGGTTTCACTTGCCGCAACTCGCCCAGGCGCTGCCGGCACCTTCTTCACCTCTCGGGCTGCCATCACTTGCAAGCCGTCTACCTAGCCCAATTTAACTGCAGAAGAGATGTGCCTCCCAGTGTCTGTCTATCCTCCCCCGGTCATCCACTGTGCTCCACGAAGTCGACAAAAGCAGCCGCTCCTGCAACGCCTAGGCACGGGAGTCCGAAACCCGGCGTGTCCGGTTCTGCAGCGCAGCCCGCCAGCCCCGACAACAGCCCCGAGGCCCTCGACAACCATCCTCCGACAGAAACGGCCAGACAAGAGCAACCGGGCTTCGCGTGCCTATAGATCAGATATTGGGACCCAGGGACCAAGGATGGCTCAGATACGCGGGAGATGACTTCCCGGGCCCAGCGAGACTTACCATGATGGCGGCCTATCCTTAGACAGCCGAGGAGGAAAAGAGAGTCACAGTTCGCCGGCCAATCATATCAACGCGCACGGAAGGACCCGGGGAAGCGCCGGCGTGGGGGCGTGGCCAGGCCGTGAGGCTATCCGCGCTGATGCCTGATTGAAGCGGTCTACGGCCTCACCTCACAGACCTTTGGCTACACCACTGGGCCTCTAAACTGGCCAATCCGGAGGCACAATAGTTCGAGCCGAATATGCAAGAGTTCAATTTCAGTTCAGTTCATTAGGTTGAATTGCACGTACTTGAATTGCGATAAACCAAATTAGTTTAAATTGCCTTCTTCGGAGTTAGAGGTGGGTAAACCTGGAAAACATTTTAGAATATCCTCTGGAGCAGCCTCCTCGCTATACAGCTAGAGAAACTGCAGGAACCCCTGACTTTAAAACCTTTGTTATTGCAAGTAGGCAACATTGCCCATTCTGATTTATTATTCATAATTATTGATTTTTGAGACTTTCATGAGTCTCTACTTGAAAGTAAAAGATCCCTTTAATTTGTATTTTTCTGCAAATCTTGGTCCTTATGCAAAATTAGCTTTTAAAAAATATTTGGCTGGGCGCGGTGGCTCAAGCCTGTAATCCCAGCACTTTGGGAGGCCGAGGCAAGTGGATCACGAGGTCAAGAGATCGAGACCATCCTGGTCAAAATGGTGAAACCCCGTCTCTACTAAAAATACAAAAAATTAGCTGGGCACGGTGGCGCGTGCCTGTAATCCCAGCTACTCAGGTGGCTGAGGCAGGAGAATTGCCTGAACCCAGGAGGCGGAGGTTGCGCTGAGCCGAGATCGCGCCATTGCACTCCAGCCTGGGTAACAAGAGCGAAACTCCGTCTCAAAAAAAAAAAAAGAATGTAAATATACATGTGCTGGAAAAACAATAAGAAGAATTTCCCAAATGTTAGTGCAGACGAGGAGTCCAAGGTGCAAGCTTTTCAGGCAACTTTCCTATTTTCTTTTTTTCTTTTTTTTTTTCTTTTTTTTGAGACAGAGTCTAGCTTTCATCACCCAGGCTGGAGTGCAATGGCCTGATCACGGTTCACTGCAACCTCCACTTCCTAGGTTCAAAGGATTCTCCTGCCTCAACTTCCCGAGTAACTAGAATTACAGGCATGTACCACCACGTAGGGCTTTTTGTATTTTTAGTAGAGACGGGGTTTCTCCATGTTGGCCAGGCTGGTCTCCAACTCCTGACCTCAAGTGATCTGCCAGCCTTGGCCTCCCAAAGTGCTGGGATTACAGGTGTGAGCCACCATGCCCCATCAACTATTTTCTTAAGAATAAGAATAGTTGGCCACTACAGGCATGAGTTGGCAGTAGCTCATGCCTGTAATCCCTGTTCTTTGGGAGGCCTAGGCAGGCAGATCACCTGAAGTCATGAGGAGTTCAAGACCAGCCTGACCAACATGATAAAACCTGTCTCTACTAAAAATACAAAAAATTAGCCAGGAGTGGTGACGCATGCCTATAATCCCAATTACTTGGGAGGCTGAGGCAGGAGAATCACTTGAACCGAGGAGGCAGAAGTTGCAGTGAGCCAAGATCGCACCATTACACTCCAGCCTGGGCAACTGAGTGAGACTCTGTCTCAAAAAAATAATAATAAAAAATAAGGATAGTTAATACTGAGTGCACCGTAGGCCAAAGCTTGAGTTCTCCTGTTAAATTCTGATTAGTTTTACCTTCATTTTGCTGTTTAACCTTCCCAGGGACTCTAAGAAATAGGGTACCTGTCACTCACCAATGTTATAAATGGGGAAACTAACACAAAATAAGATTAAATAACTTTCCCAAGGTCACACAACTTTATTTATTTATTTATTCAGAGGCGGAGTCTCACTCTGTCACCCAGGCTAGAGTGCAGTGGCATGATCTCAGCTCATTGCAACCTCTGCCTCCCGGGTTCAAGTGATTCTCCTGCCTCAGCCTCCCAAGTAGCTGGGATTATAGGTGTGTGCCAACATGCCCGGCTAATTTTTGTATTTTTTAGTAGAGATGGGGATTTCACCATATTGGTCAGGCTGGTCTCGAACCCCTGACCTCGTAATCTACCCACTTTGTGTCCCAAAGGGCTGGGATTACAGGCATGAGGCACATGCCCAGCCTACACAACTTTAAATGGTGGAAGGTAGACTCCCATGATGGCACTGGGATTTCAGAACTTCGGCTCTTACCGTCTAGATGATACGTCACCCACGATCCAAGCCTTGTTGGTATAGTATTGTCAACATTATTCCAAAGACACATTAAGTGATGGACTAATAAAATAGATTAGTAAAACCTGATATGCCTTGTTTTTTGTCTGTGACATTGTGTTCTGCTAGTGAGGATCTGAAAATGAGATAGCATTCTTAAATTGAAAGTTGTTAAATGTTTTGTTAAGTTCTGTTTTGAGTTTCTCACAAATAATGAAGAAATAAGTTCTAGGTTTTATAGTGCTGAGCCCTGGGATAATGTGATTTCATTGCTAGACCAATGCACTAAGATATCACACTAGGATGACCTCCCACAAGTTGTCACAGACTGTAGACTATTTCAAGACATGAATGATCTTTACTTTCCATTCTCCCATTCCTTCTGTAGATCACCATAGCTATTTTCACTCTAACAGATTTTCAGCTGTTTTCGTAATCAAGAATATAAGTTTAATTATTTCCCCTCTCCCCCCTCAAATTTTATGTACTGGAGGCACATGTGAGCCCATATTTTCTGCTCTGTTTATTTTTCCTTTTTTGGTCCTCCAGACAGTGCCCTCTGTTGCATGGACAGGTTCATTTTAGCCTCCACCTTCCCTTAAACAATTAGGCTCTTGATTTAAATGGTACAGATGTTAATGATGATGATTTTCCATTTTATGCATATTTTGGCCCTCTGCCTGTCTAAAGGTCTTGAGGCAAAGAGTTACATGCTGTTTCTCCGCAGGTGTCTGATTACCTGGAGAAATTGACCAGAAATGGGATTTTTTTTTTCTTTTTTTTTTTAAGATGGGGTTTCACCATGTTGGTCAGGCTGGTCTTGAACTCCTGACCTCAGGTGATCCGCCCGCCTTAGCCTCCTAAGTGCTTAGATTACAGGCGTGAGCCACCACGCCCGGTCCAGAAATGGGATTTTTTAAATACAGCGCAGGTCTCGGTGCTGTTTCCAAGAAGCGCCACCAGGTGACGGTGCAGGGAGAGGGCAAAATAGCGGCATGCCGGAAGTCTCTCTTGACGGACAGACGGGCCGGCGAGTAGCGGAAGAGGAAGCGGACACGTGGGGCACTCTACGGTGGCCGAGAGGATGCTGCATATGTGTTAGAGGCCAGTAAAGAAGCAGCCCCAGGAGGTGCGGAGAGCATCGTTTCTCTAATCTAGCCTCCCGAATGCCAAGGAGGCGTCCTGGCAGCCGTCATCATGGTGAAGGAGCAGTTCCGGGAGACGGATGTGGCCAAGAAAATGTAAGATGGTGAAAGAGTGGCCAAAGGGCGGAGAAATAGGGCAAGGGGTCCGAGGTCAGCGGTCCCGGGTCTCGGAGGGTCAGAGATGGGGTCCAATGAGAAGGGGAAGGCCAGTAGTCCCACAGGTGTGAGCAATGCCTAGAATTACCAGCGTAGGTCAAAGAGCATTGGGCAGGCCGAGGGGATTCAGCACCTCGAGAGGTCCCTGGACTTGGGCGGAGAAGGCAGAATGGCCTGAGCCTTAATGATTCGTGCACCCTGGGCCAAAGCTCGCGTTCTCCCGAAGTCATGCGATGACCCCTGTTCTTCAGCGAACCTGATCCGTGTTCTTCAGCGAACCTATCCCCTGCTGCAGCGAGGGGAGCAATCTGGGGCAGGGACTGTCTCTAATTCGGTCAGCTGCAGAGCTACTGACAGGGATGCAACAGTTGCTCACCAAAAGGATGGGGTTGCTGGCTAGAAAGCTGTACCGCAGGCCGACGGATGGCAGTGTCAGAAATGAAGCTGCTATATTCCGGGCTTTTGCCTTCAGAAAGGCCTTATGAGGCGATTACTCCTTCTTATAGTTCTCATTAGGAAATTGAATCCAGCCGAGCGCGGGGTGGCTCAGGCCTGTAATCCCAACACTTTGGGAAGCAGAAGCGGGTGAATCTCCTGAGCTCTGGAGTTCGAGAGCAGCCTGGGCAATATGGCGAAATCCCGTCGCTAACAAAAATACAAAAATTAGCCGGGCGTGGTGGTGCGTGCTTGTGGTCCCAACTACTGGGAAGGCTGAGGCCGGAAAAAACATTTGATCCTGGGAGGCAGAGGTTGCAGTGAGCCAACCTCCTGTACTCCAGCCTGGGTGACAGAGTGAGACGCTGTCTCAAAAAAAAAAAAAAAAGCAGGGGGAGAGGGAATTCATCATTCTTACAGCAGACACTGAGGAGGGTACTTCGTGTTACACCCACCCAGTGTTGGACATTAAAGATAGGATCTGAATAAAACTTTTGCTTCCTAATATAGTTGGAGAAGGTACACAAGTCAACACTGGGCATGACAAGTGCAATAAGGAGGGTAGGTCCAGGAGGTTGAGAGCGCATGGATCCAGGCCAAAGAAAGCAGACCAAACTCGAGGAGCATAACAGAGCGAGAGAGCATGGGTGATGAGAAGGAAGCAGAAGACTTGAAGCTGTGTTAAGTGTCTTGCAGGCAGTGAGGAACCTTTGAAGGATTTTGAGCAGGAGAGTATCTTGATAAGAGTTCTTCTGGAAAATCTCTTGATTCATGGTGAAAAGAATGAAAGATAGGGAGACCTTGGAGGCCATTGCATGGATCCAGGCAGGGGATCTGGCGGCCTGCAATACAGTGGTAGAGTCATTGGGAGAGGTGCATTTCAGAGAGGCTTAAGGTGTAAAATTGAAAGGATTGTTAGGGATGAAGGCAAGGAGATATGAGATGGTTGTACAGAATGCCTTGCTTGGGCAGCTGTGTGGATGGTTGCCATTCGCCGGAACAGGTGTCTTACCTAGGTGGATGCAGCATCCTCCCACATGGCAGCTCTACCTCCACACTGGCCCTTCACACACACCTGTACACCTGCTCCCAGTCAGATATAATACGTTCTCACAAAACAACTCAAGTGCTTCT